CTAAATCCATGCTCAAAACCCCCCATGACTCTTAGGGAATTAATTCTTTTATAAACAAGAGAGTATTTGAATATTTTTCAACGATTACTCACTTGGAAGTGGTGTCAAGGTGATGGTGGTGCCAGATCGAATAAGTTGCGTTGGAATGTTCATCGTGGTATACTCGGCAATCCTTCTTCGATCTTCATCTTCAACAAAGTACCACATGAGAGCGATGCATTTGAGAGTGCTTGATCTCACACAACTTCTTATAGGAGATGGGAGTGTTTGTTTCCAAGACAAGCAAATAGGAATGCAAATTCTGAAACTAGATAATTATGTAGCTAGGAAGTGCTGGAGAAGAATATCTCATCTGCAAATTTTGTGGTCCTTACGCAAGGTATTTGATGCTGCCCCATCTAAGATAAAGATTATTAGGGTTTGCAGAAAGTTGCGCTAAGTAATAAGCTATTTTAATGCTCTAGGTAATTTGTCTTGTCTACGTAAATTTGGATTCAGATTTCTTATTTCGAAGACTGATTTTGAGTAGCTTTTAATAATTTCAGCTTACGTTTAACCTCATGTAGATAGGCGTCTGAGACCCCCACAATGACATCCCGTTGGGAGCTCCTCCTTTTCTCTCTGCTCCACTTAATCGTTTCGCTCAGGTCAATTGAAGGGGTTGCATTCGCGGAGGGACATCCTTGTAGTCTACCGTTCAGGAGGTGTAGATGTGGGATCTTAAGACATATTTCATGTCAGTCCAACCCATTCATGCCTCACCTTATCGTAAGCAAAAACAATGCTCCCGTTTTCAAAAAGGCACACAGAAAATGAAAACTTACCTACTGAGAAAACAATAAGTGCATATAAGATTCCAAGCTTACGTTCTGAACAATGCCTAAGCCGCACGTTGCTCCACTTGGCAATGAAGTAACCAGCTTTAAAGGAACAAATATTTTCTAGTTAAAGTCTTACAGGTGGAGGTGTAGTTTATCGTTGAAATGCCAGGGTTCCGAGAGGCGTCAAAATCTGCCATTAGAGGTGCAATATACTGTGAATAAGTCAGTTGATCATGGTGAACGTTGCCCAAGTAGAGGAAACCTGTCACGCAAAGTCGAGAAACTACTAGTTACCAAAAGTGTCCTATCAAATCCAGTGTCCGGTTCATAAATATATCAAAGGGCAACTTTACCAAAACAGGCATTTTGATTTCACCCTATAACTAGTAAAGTACACAAAGAAGCCTTTTAGTATTTTTCATCAAAATACACATTTTAAGTCAAATTTGCGGTTATGACAAAAAATATCCTTTAGGGGAAATTAACTTTAGGTGTCTAAATAGTGATCACCGTGTTTATGATCAGAAATCACCTCCCGTAGCCATTAAGAGCTCCTGAGTGGGATATCCATAAAATGGGAAGGTAAAGGCTAGTGACAATTTCTAGAAATTGCTATGATTTCAAATTAAACGCACTATAGCAACGCGGTGACCGTTCAGCAGGGCTTCGTGGGTCTGTCCATCTCTCAGCAATGCCTTTTTTAAAAAATTGAAAGTAGCAACAGTATGGTTAGCGTCGGAGTGTACGTAAGTTTGATAATAGGCGTAGGTTCTCTGTTAAATTAGTTTTAAATGAGAACGAAACAAATACTCCATCAGGATGCAGGTTCCTCCCTGCATAGCAGAAGCCCTCATCTTCAAAGAGTCGACAAGCTAAAATTCACAAGCAGGTTTGGTTCAATAAGTAAATGGATATAGAGTGGACACAAAAATAAGTCGTACTTAAAGCTTCAAGCAAATTCTCTTGCAGCTTTGAACTGGCGTGTTTGATTATAAAAGTTAAATGCTTAGAAAGGTTGTCAACTACATTTTCTAGCAATAAGGAGTTTGTTATATTAATATAACTGCACTAAAAGTAAAAATATGGAATTATGTATCGAATGCTAACGCATGTGTTAACACGGAAGTGCGTCAAAAGGATAAAGTCTAGTTGAAGCAGTATAAACTTTGTAAAGTATGTAGATGTCTCCCTAACGGTGTATGATAAACGTTAGGAAAGGTCATTAAAATGAGGCATGTTTCCACTTAAAGGATTATAAATCATTTCCCGAGCAAAATACTCTTCTTGTAAACAGTCCTGATGTATAGGTATTTTTGCAGTAAAGTCTTACCGAAAATAAGTAAATGTATGAACACGTTAACACAAAACGTCATTTTACTAGACGCTTCAAGGTTAACCTAAATGTTTTATTACTTTAAACAACCGGAAAAGGTGAACACTTGGGTTCTTGCCTAAAATGTACCACGTTCTGACGCATTTAAGCAATAAAATTTGCCCGATTATTTGAATTTTGGATATTTATGGTTTTAAAAACCTGTTGAGTCCAAAATTGGCACCCCGACCTAGTTGTGCATTTATGTATAATTCTTCAAAATAGGATTTACTTAATCCTAAGAGGTCACAAATTCAAGCATTCAATTTACTTTGTAATAAAGGGTTCTCTTGTTCTGCTTTTTTTCCCAATGCTGCTCAGTTATGTACTTGCAGCACTCTGGGAGTCAGAAAGGCTGGGGTGTTACCAGCGTCCTTTGAAGGTCATGCTGCAAAGTGGAAGTACAATATACGAAGACTAAAGGTTCGCGGAGTTGCCTGCGTAGTTTAACAAAACGTTTAGTTGTTGCATTCTTCAGACGCTTTGGTAGAACTATTTTTGCCCCCCAAAACTTCCCCAAAAATGGGAGAAGGCATACTACTCGGGCAGAATGTATTATCGATCTGAAGAAGGGCTGGAGAGGGGCTACTGGCGTGGACCAACAGAGCTCCTAAGCAGCTTATTATAAAAACCGAGAGCTAGGAAATCAATTAACATATTGCATACCCACCTGAGAAAGTATAGTTATTTCCGTGAAAGCACTTATCAACGCGTTTGGCATATTGCCCAATAAGTATGTCGGTGTTAAGCTATTCAAAATAATGCTCCTAGCTGACCAGGTGTACTGATCTAAGGTGGGAGGTTTTCGTGTCCGCTGCTTAAAATTCGCTGCGGAAAATTTACTGGCCATTGTCCGAGCTTGTAGGAACGTTACTGAAAATCTGTTCCCTATTAAATTATCAGCTGTTGAATGTCAAATTCTCTGGAAAACCTTTGTTTGCACTTATAAGTATGTAGGTAAGTATGGCTAGCAAAGAAGAAAAGCCGGTCCCTTTGGCATGGCAGAATTGGCTCGGTTACGTTCCATTTGTGCGAACAATCTTGCTCCCTGCATCTACGGAGTTCCACATTGTGGAATCGCACTAATATCTTCTGATTATTTAAAAATACACCTTCCAAACAGCAACAAGTGTAATTTGTCAGTTCATGGTCTCTGTTGTGCCCTTTGGACTTTTCTGTTGCTGATTTTCAACAGCACTGCCTCCTTTGGAGATCAGACAAGGAACATGATATAATATTCTCAGTCAATATTTTTCCACCTTTGACAACTGTAATGGTTCCTTAAAAGAACCAAAGTACCCAATATTTATAAATTGGAACAAAGCTTTGACTAAACTCATAAATTTAAGCCTTTTAACCTTAAATACCTCCTCGCTTCCAAATTCGTTTCAGATTAGTCATACCATAAGTCCATATCGCCATATTTTATCTGTAGTTGCGGAATTTTTCAGATACTTTGCCAAAGCCAACCCTCCTGCAAAAATACAAATCACTTCCTTTTGGTGATTTCCTGATACTTTTTCATCGAATGTAATGCGTCCCAATGTATTTACAGGTAGCAATTGGAGTACAATCAATGGATCATGGGGTCACGGGAAGGGGCAGAGTATTGTAGCACTCCGAGACTTCCGCGAAGATAGAAGAAGACATACCAAAACAGAATATTCTTGCTGACGTGTAGTAGGAATTGGGCCTACTGGCATGGCCCAGAGGTCAAGCGGCCCCGCGGAGGTACAATGGCGGAGCGGCTAAGTGACCCGTTGCCAGGACCGAGAGCTAGACAAACATTTAGCCTAATATGGTAACACGACAACTAATTTTGTCACTCTTTCCTGTCTCACAAGGCAATATCTTCTACATTTTGCAACAATTTTGTATGGTGGGATTGTAGAGGTGTGCTTCACTTCCCCCGTTCAACACGAGGCTTCGACTTATCACCCAGCGCCCATCAACTGGTTGCACAGACTTTTTTGAATATCCGGTAAATTGTGTCAATCTAATAAGTGGTCCAAAGTATCTCTTTCAAGGGTGTGTTAAAAGCTATTGCAAATATGACTTTAAGCTTTAGCTTACTTTTAAAACACACTTAGCATTTATTTAGATCAGTTGCTGTCTTCAAAGTTATAGTGTAATGATGGAGCATCACTTAAGCGATTTGGGGTGGAACACCTCCTCTGGCTTCGTGGTTGTCTTATGGTAAAAATATATTTGTAACTTCCATCTGAGTTGCATTCTTCAGCTATGGCATACTGATATTTCTGCCTCATATACTACATTGCAG